AATTTGGAAAAATTAACCCATTAACATAATAGTGATTACTAACAAAATGGGAGTGTACAAAGTATTCTTGTATATTTGGCTTAATCATATTTGATCTGATTTTCTTATAAAAGTCTAAGGATGATTATCCTAGTTCAGGAAATGTGAAAAATAAATAAAACGAACTCTTACTTGGACAACATAATACATTCCTTTAAGTTTCGATAGTATATATATATATATATATATATATATATATATATACAGAGAGAGAGAGAGAGAGAGGGAGGGAGGACATACATACGATATAATCATCCTAGTTCAAGAAATGTGAAAAATAAATAAAACGAACTCTTACTTGGACAACATAATACATTCCTTTAAGTTTCGATAGTGTATATATATATATATATATACAGAGAGAGAGAGAGAGAGAGAGAGAGAGAGAGAGAGAGAGAGAGGAAGGACATACACACGATTTTAAAGCGAAAATCCAGATAAAAAATAAATAACTTTACCAAATAATGTCAAACATGAACTAGTGTCCAAACTATAATTAAGTCCAACATGTGTTATTAGTGAAGGATTAAAATGACCTTTAAAGCACCAAAGATCACTTTTCAACTATATGTAGAAATTTTAGTTAATTTGTGACTTAGGGTCTCTTCTAGTGCAGTGTGTGAGTGTGAACAATTATGAGCAAGCAAGTATAAACAAGTATAAAATAAATGGCACAAAGTAAAGAGAGAAGGGAAGAGAGATGTAAACACAAGTGATACATAGTGGTTCGGGCCCAATCCAGCCTATGCCTATATGTTATGAAACAAAAGTAAAATTTGAAATGAATTCAAAGTCAAAATGCATTGCACCTTGGAAGCGAGAAGAAGATGATAATACTTGTATTGTGTGTAAGGAGTTCAACAATCCAATTTGCATAGATCTACATTCCCGTCTATAACATGTAATTGGTCCTTCTCAATGGCTTTAAAAATGTTGAGCCCTCATGTGTTTTGATATACCAAAACTAATCAAAAAATTGATTGATTTCTAACAAACATACTTAGGTATGATAAAGAATCATAACCTAAAACAAAATGCAGTTTTTTTCTTTTGGAACAACCGTGCAGGATAAAGGAAGCACAACAACATTCTTTCTAACCGTGCATGCTTCTGTTCAAAATAAAGCCAAGTCGCTCACACCGACACATCCAAGCAACCTACTCCATCCAAGTTAAAAATCAAAGATCTCATAATTCAAATAGCCGCGCCTTTGACGAATCTTGGAAGTCAAGCCTTAAAGATCAAGTTGAAATTCATATGTTTGAAGTGGTACAACCATTCTTTATGGTGGTAAAAGATTCTAAAAACTATTCTTTCAATGAATTACAATGTGCATTTGAGTCATTAATGAAAGAACTTGAAAAAACAAGAATTTGATGATTTGGAAATATATTGTGGTGTTTTGCAAAATGAAAATCTTGATTTGAAAAATGAGCATGAAAAACTTTTGAGCGTTCGTGAAAAGCTTTTAACCGAAGATAAGCAACGCAAAGATGATTTTGATTATGTTGCATATGATAAAATCATTTTGACTAAAGAAATTGATGCTTGCTTCACAATAATGTATTTTAAAAAATGAAGGTTTAGGTTAGAACATATTTTTAAACGAACAACCTTCTAACATAATATATGAACCATTAAATGAACCAAAAGCATCTTTTAGGAAATGTGGTTTTTGCAAATATGTTGGTCATAAAAGTCAAAGCTCTCAAAATTCAAATGCTTCGCACCTTTGATGAATCTTGGAAGTGAAGCATTGAAGATCAAGTTAAAGTTCATATGTCTGAAGTGGTACGACTGTTCTCCATGGTGGAATGAGCATTCATACTCACAAATCGTTCTTGTTTGAACAACATTGTTCCAGGTAGTCGTGCATGCTACTAGATTTTTTATGGATTTTAAGGAGCCAATGGTCAGGCCATTCCTCGCGGTGGAATGACCATTCACGGTGATGTTACAACCATTTGCGATAATGGAACAACAATACCAGAAACCCTAAAATTGTATGAATTGACCGTTGGTGTTAGGAATGACCATTTGCGATAATGGAACAGTCATTCCTCTATGTCTATAGGCTTTTCAGACAGACATTAAATGCAGCAATGGCTCTTTGCAAACAGGGAAAAGTCAAGCTTAAATAAAGTACTTCAAAGCTTAGAAAATCAGAGAGAATATCATAGAGTCAAGTCATATCAAAACATTCTCACTTAATCCCTTGAGCTCAAAATCAATCAAAGCTTCACTCTCTTGTACTTATTTGTAAACCCTTCAGAGTATTGTTCTTATCATGTATTCAAGCCTAAGTTAGAAGCAATCTTTCTCACACTTTTTATCAAAAACTTTGTGGGTAAAATCTTGTAAATCTAAAAGCAAAATCCTATCAAACTATTGTAAATGCGAAATCTTGTGTAAACTAGTGTAAAGGCGAAATCCGATTCTAATGGAATTTCAAGGAGGTTGCCTTGAAAAAGTGGATCTAGGAGGCTTGTAGATAGAGTTTCAAACCACTATAAATCTCTGAGCATTTCTTCTGTGTTAACTCATTTATTACTCATCATATACTTACTTAAAGCATCATTCTCATATACATATTTATTGCTCACATTCACATGTACATCTCTCATTTATTGCTTATTATTGATTATCCATATTGTTTGAATCACTCTCATCCATTGTTTATCATGGTCTCTTTGATCACAACAAATGATTTTTCAGTGCCAATGAATTCTCTATCATTAGCCAAATTTGGATGTCGATGAACAGTTTTAACTACAAGTTTTATGCCTTCATTGCTCTTACACTCAAGAATATCCTTCACAAGGTGCTTACTTACATGCTCAGTTGTTACTGTGATAGTAAGAGATGGATATATGCTGACAAAACTAGAGATCAAAGAAGCATCACAAACATAAAGGCATGGGTGCACAATTGCTAAAGCCTTTGTGTCAAAAACCTGACCATTGGAGTTGCATGCACCAAATAAATGATTTGAAGTTGCATTGCAACTAGGCGTGTACAAGAAATCCAGGTAGAATTAAAACCGATAAGTACCTGAGATGTTGGTTTCAATTCATACCCGAAACCGGTCCTCACAGGGTCGGTTTCAGTTCCTAAAGTGGTGGAACAGACACTATATGGTCGCGGTTTTAGTTCCACCACTTCAAGAATCAAAACCAAAACTGGATTTGGGAATTGGAACATAAAAGAAGAAAAAGAAGAAGAGACTTTCGGACATCTAAAATCCAACGACAACATCACAAAAGACTTTAGAAATGCCAAAACAACAATTCATTTTGATCGAACCACATAGTTTGGTTTGTTTGTTTGTTGTGATGTCTCGGCAAAGTCAAGTAATCAAGCAAGAACCATTAGGAAGGGCATTGATGCATCAAATACAACTTGTTAAAGAAACACCTAAAATTCAATAAATATCGAAAACAAAAAGAAGAAGAAGAAGAATCGATTGGGTTGTGAGAGGGAGACGAAGTGGGTTTGTGGAGAGAGGGGTGGCAGCTAGGGGTTTATGATGAAAGGAGAGCTGTTGGATTGAAAGTGAAGGGCTTTTGTAATTTCTATAAACTACTGGGGGTGTATTTGAATTTTAAAGGGTTTATTTGTCTTTTTCTTTTTTCTTTTTTTCTAAAGTGGGGGAAACAAATTATCCTAGGTACTTGGAACTGGAACTGAAGCCTAGGTTTCAGGTTCTTGTTCCATATTTCAAGAACCAAAACCGACTAGTCCCGATTACAAATATAAGGAACCGGCTGATTCCGATTCCGGTTTCGATTCCGATTCTGGTTCTGGTTCTGGTTCTGGTTCTGGTTCTGGTTCCTTTGATTTTGGGCAAGTACCCGAACCCACTCTCCCCTAATTGCAACAACCTAAAAGATGAACCAAACTGTGATGGACAGCACCTTGGCAAAAATAAGATTCCCCCTAATTTTTTGGAAAGCTTTTGAAAGGCCTTAACTTCTTGTACGAGTAAAGGATCCACAGGTGGAGTGAAACAGATTTTATTAGTGCCCTTGTCAGAAATAATTTTTCTATCACTCTCATCACATCCCATTGCATGAAGCACCACTGCTTAGCTTGAATAACCCATGACATGTTTTAAGTTATGTATATTCCCATGAAAATACCATTATACGTTTGGCCATCCATAATATTATCCCTTTGAAAAACAGCAGGGATAAGCGGGTGGAAGTAAAACACTCATCAGAATGTATTGTTAGGTTGGATATTTGCTAAAACATTGGTAAACAATTCAATTTCATATTATTTCTAAGATATACCAATTTTGAAATCATTTTGTGTAACTAAAAATATAGATAGATAATTGCCAAAGTTAAAACATATATGAAGTTATAGAAAATATGCCTCAATTGCCGAAAGAATATAACCCCTGTTTGTTTAACTTTTCCAATCCTATTCTATTCTACTATCCTGTATATCCTAAAAAGTGAAAAATATTTTTCTTTTAATATTGCTCAAAATCCAATTTTATTCTATTCAACTCAAAACATTTGATAATTACATTTCTTAATAAAAGTTTATAAATTAAGAAAAACACCCACACCCACTCAAGCAACAGTCGCTCGCTAACAACCACCGTCGGCCACCGCCGCTAGCGTCGAAAGAACGCACAATCGGCCAAATCTAGCCAATTGTGTGCTAACCTGTCCATTTCTGGCAAGATCCACCATGGATCTACCCAGAAACAGCTAAATCGATACACGACTGGTCAAATCCATCCGATCATGCGCAATTCTGACAACTTTCGGCTACTGTTTACCGGTGGTGGCCAATTGCCGATAATCAGTTAAGTGGGTAGCGGTGTTTTTGTTAATTTATAAACTTTTATTATAGGAGGTGTTTAGCTAAATTAACAAATGTAGGGAGTTAAAAATAATTTATATATTTTCAGAAAATGTTTTCCAAAAATATACCAAACGTATTCTCATAATCCTATCTTATTTTATTAAATCATATCCTATCATATTCAGAATAGAATATTATTAAAAAAAAATATATACCAAACGGAGTCGATTTTTGTCAGTAGAATTTTTGGCCTTATAAGGGCACCCAGCAAGACAATTTCTACAGGCTAAGCAGATGCTTGTCTGTTGAAGCTTCGTAAGTTGGGGTGGAGGTTTTTGAAATCGAAATTCAATGCTTACTTTCATAAAATCTTCGCAACTTTCTTCAATCTCTCCATTGGCTATTTCTCTCATGACTTAGGAAACAGGATACCTGACAGGAGCTCTTTGTACTCTACACATGGCAGCGCAACTATCCCATTGCCAATCCAATTCCCATTCCCATTCCTTTGGCCACTCAGGATTCCTTCTAGCACAAACTGGAGTTGGCAGCATCACTCCAGAATTGTCTAGTGAACCTCCACCAAGCCCAAAAGCCATTGCTGCTAGAGAATCACCTTGTTCATAGAGTTGTAAACATGAACAAACACTCAGTTGCAAAGATAATGTATTAGTCTTTCAATCATAAAAATCAAGAAGAAAGCAAGAGAATAACCTGAAGCAAAGCATCTTTTGGTCAAAAGCTGACAACTAAATTCCAGTTTTCCACCCTTAAGGCTGACATGATCTTCAGACAATGAGTTGGAAATCATTAGCTTCCCATTGCCTGCCTTTCTCTACAAGGCATACCTTTATCCCTACCATCAACATCTGAAAAGATGCAACCAAACTGCAGACCCCACAACAACAGCATCATAACCATCTTCTTCTTCATCACCCAACCTCTGTTCCAAACCAGCTTTTTTCTCCATATTTTTTTGAAATCTTTTAAAATTTCAGGACTAAGATGTTATGAATTATCAACAAGCTAGCATGTCTTATAAACAGTAAAAATGAACACAGTCGAAAACTAGAGGGGAATATCAGTTTCAGATTCAGATTCAACGAAATATATAAATGAACATACTGCCAGCACATATGATTCTGATTATACTATTTTGTTCTCTAGTGCATGTTCTTCTTAAAGAGTAGCTAGAATATCATTCTTTATCTATAAAGAGTATAGTCCAATCCAATTCCAAGATCTAGGATCAAATCGGTACATATTGAGACAAATCACTACAAAACAATTACCTAGATTTATGCTTCCTTATCTATGTACAGTCGATTTCTTAAAAAATGAAAAAATAAAACATAGACGGGGCAAAAAAGAGTAGATGGATTCTTCTCAACAGCTGAAAAAAAATCACATACAATACATATATCTTTAGTGATTATAACAGAACCTTAATTAAGGTTAATTACTTGCAATAAAAGGTTGATCAACTATTTAAAGTCTCTTTTTGTATATTCTTATGCATAGCATATTGCACTCAAAATGTGCAATATAAAATATTCAATCACATGCATCAAGATGTTGATATGGGAGAAAAAGATAAACAAAAGTTATCTTCTAGAAGATGAGTTAGCACAAATATGTTTTAAAGCTAAGTTGGTGAACATTGTAAGCTACAACTACCCTCTTAATTCTACAAATCACTATTGCTAAGCACTCAAGTCATAACTGACACTACAAATGTATTTCATTCTGAAAATGTTCTAAAAGGACAGATCTCACAGAAGCTAAATAAACCTACAAATAATAAATTGATATATGCTTCCAGACCCTAAGCAATCTCCATTATTGCAAAAATCCAATGCCATAGATATCTAACTAGCTAAGTGGATAAAAGGCAAGCAGAAAGATAGATATATAGACAGATATAAATGAAATATATAAGAACAAAAGTTTTATTGCCTTAACCAAGCATAGAAAATTAAAATTATAAACATAATGCTAGAAATAACAGTATTAACAAAAGAGAGTCAAGATGCATATTATTACACCTTAAATACAAAACGGTTCAAACTCTAGCAATTTCAACTGATTTCTGGAGGGCTTGCATAAGACTTCTCATGATCCGTGGCTCACCAGGATGTGAATTATCTGTTAATGGTACATTTCTAATAGCTCGAAAATCTGACCAGAACTGCCAGATGCGGGAAAAACCAAACAATCTATGTACACAAGGACCTCAGTCTCCCCATCTCCAACTGTAATAAATCCCAATCATGCTCTACCTGGTATTTCATCTACCTGTTCAATTTTTGAAAATGTAAACATCAGTAAGCCCATCAGGAGAAACAAAGTTTTCTCCCAAGTCAATTATAGAGCATTTAAGTTCTACAACAAACAAATCATATAATTGAAATGCAATATTCACAGGAAATTTAACCAGGTTGTATTAATGACACCTGCAAACAACTAGAGATAAAATCAGGATCCTCTTATAATTTGAGCTCTCCTGAACTTGTACTATTTATATTCTTTAAATAACTACAAATCATATTACTGCATAAATATATAGCCACAAAGACAGCATAAAATGTTTTACATATCCTAAACAAGGACCTACTATGCAACGCAAGTAGAGGATAACATAGATTCTTGGCCGGCCCAAAAAATGAGTGGTGTACAATGCAATGATAGTTCTAGTGCATATAGACTATTAAGAAACACAACCCAAAAGCTTCAAATATTATAAATCAAATGATGAACAAACATCTCAAGATTTTGTCTAGCTCTCATGCAATGTTAGCTCTTAATTCGATTTTTATCCACAACAGCAATTGTTTTGCTTTTCTTAAAGCCGCTAAAGAACAATGCCCTTGTGCCCACTGCCATACAACCACAGCCACAATTTTTATTTACAAGCTTAAAACTCAAGAAACAAAAGACAAAAGTAATGACTCACCTTAAGTGGCACAGGAAGAGGGAGATTAGCTCCTTGACATAGACTATTAGCCCACTTTATAACCACGAGCAAAAAAAATGAACTTAAAGAAAGGAAAAATCATAAAATAAATAAGTACATATAACGCCAGGTAATCCAACCAGCAAATTTAATTCTTCTAATTTTTCTTGTCTATGTTAACTTATAATTGTCAAGGAAACTGCTCTCAATTGCAATGTTGGAAGCAGCAAATCAATTGGATGATAGCTAGATCCTCTTTGTAAAGCTTTAGCCCCTTTTTAGACTCTTTTTTTTTTTTTTTTTTTTTTTTTNAAGTGTTAAGAAAGTGAAGCTCTTTGGGGCAAGATCAAGTTTTTGGCATCTCTTTGGGCTTCTGTTTCAATAGATTTTGTGGACACCTCTTTTTTTCTTTATCCATCTTAATTTGTTAGGCATATTAAGATAAGTCTGGTTTTTTGTACATGCCATAGTGTCTCTTATTTTGGTTTTCTTTTCGCACAGGCTCATGATACTCTTTGTAAAGCTTTAGCCCCTTTTTAGATGGGTTATTTTTGTCGTAGACTAAGTTTTTTACATTAATATACATTTCTACATTTCCTATCCAAAAATAAAAAAATAAAAAATGGATGTTAGCTAGTAAATTACACATTTACAGATAATTAATTGGATATTCATTTTTTGATTATTATTATTATTGCCATGTTCAAAACCAACAGAAAATGAGACAATATAAGCGTTACCAAATGACACAAAAACTAGCAAAGGACAAGCTAACCCAGAAGAAAATTGTTTCCTTGAAGATGCATGATACATGACAAACTTTTCATTATTTTATTTAATAATCATAATGCACTTTTCACATACAATATAAGTTGCGAAATCATTACTCATGACACCAACAATAAGACAACAAACCGACATGAAATTTGCTTCATGTATGACTCTTCTCATTACCATGACTTATATTTTGACAAAAAAAAAAGTCTCATGCTCTAACCGACTAAGCTATTCCAGCTTCATTATTATTAAAGCACTTTAAAATTTAACATTGTGAAGTACCTGGAGCAGTAGACTTCTGAAGATCAGTATCTGAAGGCAATTTCATGGTGCCAAGCGACACACCATCGTCATCATCCTCTGATGGAACAATTCTTCTGTTTTGCTGAGAGGATTTGGTAGCTCAAATCAACTTCTGTTGGCCCAACAATACACTGTGTTTACGGAACTCTTTCCTCGTATTTCTATTATTGAAGATGAAAACTTGAGAGATGTGAATGGGCAGAGAGGTTGCACGTGTGAACTGACACGTGTGGTTTCAGCTAGTCTCATTGTGGAGGGCATGATTGATGATAATGGCCTCTAAAGTCTGAGCCTCTTAGAAAGTGTGAGAAGAAGTCAAAGGCTTGTGATTGAAATGGGTAATATAGGATTCCAAAAGCTTTCTTTTAAGAAGGAAAAGTGATTTCTGAAGCTGTGAATTTAGGACATGCCATGTCATTTCATGTCAGTATAATAGTCTATTAATTGAATGAGAATCCCTTAATCTTTTGCTTTCGTTTATTTGATTTAGTGAAAATCATTTCTTCTTTTTCTTTCATTTTCTACGAAAGAACACTTATTTCGTCTGGTTAAAATTATTTTACATTTTGGGTGTGATAAAACTATTGTGACAGAGTCAACCCAGCTACCACGTTGGAGTTGTAAGAGAGGTTCGTAAAAATATGTTGTTAGTGTAGCATTAGTTAAAAAAAAAAAAAAAAAAATTATGGTATGACAATTTCCATATGAAAAGAAATGTCAAAAATAATTATTCGTGACAAATATAAAAATGGGTAATGACAAGATTTACAAGCTATCAACTAGACGTCCACCATAACTTTTCCCCAGAAATGCGTTATTTACCATATGTCTAAGCATAGAAGTTTGTTGATGCGAGATTTTGCACCAACGAAACGCACGTGTGAAATATTGTGGAGGGCCCAGAAATCACACGTGAAAGTAATGGGTAGGAGATAGTAAATGCAATAGAGACAGTTTTTAAAGTGGCTCGGATGCTAAGATAGCAAATCCTACGTCCACTGATACTTATATTGATGATAGGGGTCAAGTCGCTCTTAGCTGACTGACTTTATAATGATATTACAAGGTATCGATTGCTAAGAAAAGAGAGAGTAATTAATCTAGTGAAAAAGTGTGCGAATCCCCTTAATGAGAGTTGAATTCCTAATTTATAGTCAGGTGTCTTGAGGCAATGATCACTAAATCTGCAAGTTGGTGAGATTATCCGTGCAAATCCCTCTTTATGTCACATTGCCCACCTTCTAGAGTGATTCGCGCGATTTAGAGCAGGGATTGGACACGTGGAAGCACAACAGCCTCCTGAGTAGCCTGACGCGCACCCACTATCCTAACGGACGCAGACGGTGGCTGTTCCAATGATCTGACTTTTGTGGGCTAAAGGGTCCTGACGTCAGCCCTTATATTTTTAGGTGTAACAGAAGCCCCCTAGTTTTTAAGGTTTGAGGATTGAACCTTGGAAACTATAGGTCGTGCCGCAGTTAGATGATTTCTGAAAACTTTAATCTGTTCGAAAGTAGGTCGGGGCGGCATATGCACGAGCACGACCTCGCATGCTCAAGGACAAGCGACCTGGTTCCGTCTGACATCACCCGTTTATTCTGGTAACAGGAAGGCATTTAATGAAGCCATCCCTACATTGACAGGTGTACCTCTTGCATGGGGAATGTCAGCCAATCACATTTAATGCCTTGCATGCTAAAACAATGCGCTTCACCAGGACATTAAATGCAATATGCGTTGGAGCAGTGTACCTTACCAGAGCATTAAATGAAGATTTGAGGTGCAATTAATGCACTAAGAGAGATATGGCTGTCGTTTAAGCTTTTCAACTGGAAAGGCGAAAGTCTAACCTCATCCAGTCATTTCGCTCACCCTTCCTCGCTGATAAGTGACACGTGGCCAAGATCAACGATAAGAAACCTTTACCACTCGAACGTCGTTTCAATTTCGGGAGATCCAAACGCCAATCCACGCGCTATAAAAACCACAAATCGTTCCCAGGCAATGTCACCAAAGCCTTTTTCACAGAGAACAAAAGATTTTCGCAGGCCAAGAACCTTTGTCTTCCAGACTTGCATTTTTCCGGCATCTGAAGCAGACACCGTCGTTGTGCTTTTAGAGGTAAGAGTTTTCTTGCCATCATCTCATTTTTTCCATGAGTTAATGGCGTCGGTCTTCCGGTACCCCATCAGAGACTAGTCGTCTGCGTCGGGTTCAAGCCACCATTGCTAGGGTATTTATTTAGGATTTTAAGGGAGTTTATTTCCTCCCACGTCATCGTACAAGATAGCGTACGGAGACCAAATAATCCCTCTGCTTGTTGCTTTTGCAGACTGGCAAAATGGACCCCTCAGATACCAGACCTGAGCAGGGAACCAGCTCGTCCCTGCATGGTGCTTCTAGCATTCCTCTTGAGGTTTTCTCGGTACTCACCGAGGAAGAGCTTGAGAGGGTAATAAGCCAGTTCGGCATCGAAGTGGACGTGTTCCACGACCTGACGCACTCGTCGCGATACCCCTCAAAAGGCTTGGCCGCGATCTCTGAGGAGATTATCAAGGGTGGAGGACTTATCCCCCTGCACCTTTCATCATGTCGTTTTTGGACCATTTTGGGGTCGCACCGATGCAGCTGACCCCGAACGCGTATGTCATTGCTGTTGTAATGTACATCGCGTGCCGGGAAAATGGATTGGGCGAACTGACAGCTTTGGAGCTCAGCTGCACGTATTATCTGAAGAAGAGCAAGGACAAGGATTCGTATTACTTGTCCAGGCGACCTACCATTGCCGACGGGATACACAGTTATCCCAGCAACGCGGGGGCTTACAAAACGAAGTTTTTCTTCTTTCGTTATGATGATCATTGCCGCTTCCAAGATCCGAGTAGACCTCTTTCTCTTTGCTTGTATTTTTGTTTTGTATTTGGCGAACTCATTGCGCTCGAAGCGCGTTCGCTCTAACGACCTGGTTTTTCTTTCTTGACAGTTAACAAGACAACTGAAATAGGGCTGCTCCATGACAGAAAGATAATCTTGCAGTTCAGCTCCCTTCCTGAGGACAAGCGCGACGCAAGGACACTTGTGACAACCGCGAATTTGTGGAAGTACGGTTTCTTTAACGCCAGCGCGTCGTTAGAGCCTCTACCATGTAAGTTTCCCTAACCGATCCTTTTCCGGGTCGTGGAACAGAAAGTCTTCACTAACCTTGCCTTGCATGCAGCAACAACCATGCTACCGAAGGAACTTGAGCAACCTCGTCGAAGGCCCATCAACTTTCCTCGGACGAAGAAAGCTAAGGCGGCCAAAGCTGCACGAACAGCCTCCCAAGCTGAGGGCGTGACCCTGAGCCAACCGGCGTGACCTTCCGGAACGTCCCAACCACAACCGACAGAGGACGCACCAACACGAACCACGAAGGTCACCCAGCCGTCGCCTGCTCAGCCAAGGATGAAAACCATGGCTCAGTGGAAAAAGAGGAAGCAGATTCAGGCTGAGGAATCGGAGACTGAATCTGAAGGCGAGCAGCCAAAGAGGTCGCAACCGGACCCGAACAAGTCGAGCAAGGCACCTATGGACGACACGACGGCTACTGAGGCCGCGAAGAAGGGTCCCGTAGTGTTGGACTCGCTGGGGAACCTGTCAGAGTACCTGTAGCCGGTAGTGTATGCCCTGCTGGAATGCAAACTTTCGGAATCTTTCGAGCAGTTCGCAAGTTCCAGCGACGTGGACCTAATGTCCACGTCGATCCAGCATATAAGCAAGGTGAGCGAACTGTCCTCGGTGAGGACTTAACTTCTTTTGATTACCTAACCCTTTCTTCTTCTATTCGCAGGCTCTTCTTTCCATGAGAATGTCCATGGAAAAGGCACAACTGGGAGCTGCGAAGGGAGGTGCCACCCTACAGGAAGAGAACGCAATGCTTAAGCGAAACTTGGAAGCTGCCGAAGCAGAGAGAAACCTGTCTCTCAAATCGGTGAACAGTTATTTGAACAAAAGAAACACGGCTCTTCGCACGGTGGATTTCTAGAAAGCGCAGCTTGAGAAGCAGGGAGAGGAGATAAAGGAGCTGTAGAGGACTGTATCCAGATTCTCTAGACTGGCTGGGGAGAAGGACCAGGAGCTGAAAGCGACCTCCCTGTAGGTCGCACGAGCAGAAAAGGAGAGAGAGGCCTCTGAGAAGCTAAGGAAAGCTCTTGAAGTTGCACATCAGGAGACTGAAGGGAAAGTTGCTTCTTTGATAGAGGAGGTCGAGGAGAAGGCTGCCGAATGGGCAATTGACTCCATTTATGCCTTGCGACCAAAGAATTCTTTTCTTGACATGTCCGACCTCTCGGCAGACTGGCAGGAAACACTCATGTCCATGGCTCGGGAGGACGATGAAGTGGCGGCCTTCCGACCAGAAGGTTTAGGGCATGCAGCGGACAAACCCCCAGCTGACCAACCCTAGGACGAGGAGGTCGGCCTCGTAGGGGCTGGATTAGGTCTTGCAATCATGTCTTCTTTCCTACTGTATTCCATAGTAATGAAATACATTTTTGCCTTTATAATTTCCAGTTCGCTTTTTCATACATGAATTCTTTCCGTTTGTTTACATTCATTTAGTCAAAGATAACTTAACTTATTCACACGAAATGGATTATACATAGAGATTGTTTACAAACACTCAAGATAAAAGCTTTACAAAGAAATGACTTACAAAAATCAGAAATTAATTTACAAGGAAAGATGAGTTCTGAATTACTGATAGTATGGCCGAAGATGTTCAGCATTCCAGGCCTGAGGTACCTTGGAACCGTTTAGCCTTTTGAGATGATAAGTCACCGGTCTGATTACTTTATCAATGCGGTACGGACCTTCCCAGTTCGGCCCTAAAACTCCCGCGCTTGGTTCTCTGGTTCCGAGGAGAACTTCCTTTAACACCAGGTCGCCGACCTGGAAGTCTCTTCGCCTGACCTTTGAATCGAAGAACTTTTCGTGCGTTGCTGATAGGCTGCTATCCTTAGCGAAGCTTTGCTGCGATGTTCTTCAATAAGGTCAAGGCTTGCCCTTATGAGTGCGTCGTTGTCGGCCTCATTGTACAAGTCTCTCCGAAGCGAACCAGTTTCTACCTCGACGGGAATCATTGCTTCGCACCCATATGCCAGCGAAAATGGTGTCTCCGAGGTGGAGGTCCTCGAAGTTGTTCGGTTTTACCCATAGGACTTCGGGGAGGTCGTCGGCCCAATTCCCCTTGGCTGCACCAAGCTTTGCCTTCAGAGTGTGCTTGATGGTTTTGTTGACAGCTTCAACTTGGC